ATTAGCGGTAATAAAAGCCGAGGGAGGTCAACAGTGATCACTGACTGTTTTAGGAGCTTTTTGAGATTAAATAGAAGAAAATACAAAACATTAAACATGTTAACAACACAAAAGCCATATTAAACACAGACTACTTTAGGCCCGGAAGTAGGATTCGTCACGTCATCACTTAACGACCGGATTGCTTTTATTATGGAATATAAAATTTATAAAACATTTATAATATAACATTTTTCAGCTTAATTTATGTTGTATACACTGGAATTCTTATCAATAATCTCCTTTCATAATCTCATATGGTCTCCTAAATACATTCCCCTGGTGTAAATTTGTTTTAGTGTGATAAACAGATTATCCCACAGCTCTGTGTACAGAGCAACAGCAACATAAGAGAAAATACATGAATGTAGACCAAAGATATACAGTGACTGTGTTTGGAGGTCACAAAGAATGTTTTGATAAGACAAACCAATGTGAAATCAATTTAGTAAAAAAACCCAAAAAGATTAGACTCTAACTTCAAGATTAACCTGAAGTTTGAATATCATTTACTCAGTTTCCCTTACCTCTGTTACTTCTTTATGATTAACTAACAAAAAAGTGTCTCCCAGCGCAATTCTTAGCATATTTTGGTTATAAACAGTATATACAGTACTCTGGAAAAGGTATAAAATGTCACTGTGCATGTGTTTTATGTGTATAGATTTTTTTTACATTAATAAGTGCCATGACCATCCCTTTCTTTTGCCCTACTAATATTCTGGTTTCAGTTTGTTTCCCACATTTTTTTTAATCTCTTGAATTTCTTGCCTTATGGTTCCAAGCGCTGTCAACAAACTCTGCATTTTATTATTATGTCATAACATCAGCTACCATCTCTGCTGTGGACTTTTTAATGTCTACAGTCTTAGATCAACACAGTTCTGCCCTCCAACACTGTCAGCAGCAGGAGCAGCAACACCACCTCAACAGCAACATTGTACCTGACTAGGTAAAACACAGGCTGCATTTGCTTTCCACTGACCCCATCTTTGATTCCATATTATACTCCTATGCATGTGGATTGTTGTTATTCAGCCTGGTTGTATGTGCCCCTTTTTAACTTTGAGCACCCAACCCAAAAAACACCTCTGCATGGTGCTTAGTTTAAATACCAGCTGGAACCGAACAATGACAGTTTTGTTGACTAAAACATTTCCACAGAACTTCTTGTGTCCTTGTTCTGCAACATTCATTTAAGAATCATTTAAAAAAAACACACCATGCATATTTGTGGTTTATTATGAGCACACATGATGAAATCACTTCCAGTGAAAACCCAAAGGTGTTACAGGTATTTCCACATCACAGTCCAAGTTTTTGTCGTGTTTGTTAAAGCCTGACAACAACACCCTTGTTCCTCTCTGACAAGCTAAGGCTTGTCTAATAACATTATACTATCTGTAGATAGAAGTTGAATGTTAAAAGACTCAAAATGTCAGAGCATATTACACAGGAGAGGTCTTACTTAGGAGAGTTGACTGTTTGGTCACAGGATCAGTGTGGCCAACAAACCATCCGGAGCATCTCAGCTAGATTCTTCTCCTAAAGTGTTCACTTCACTTCTTACATAACTTATCATAGCAATTTGACCACATACAGTTATTGAGAACATCTGATGTTGACTTTGTGTGTGTTGTGTGTGTTTGCGAGTGTGTCTACACTGTTTGGTAGTGACCAACCCCTCGGTTTTTTGTTGTTGTTGTTTTCTTGCTTTAAAATTTGATAGCCGCTTCTCTGTCTCTTTTATTTTTTACAATTATTAATAGAAATATTAATAGGAACCTATGATTAAACAATTTTGCCTCTGTCTCCTTAATTCAACCCAGACATTTTCTGTTACTTTCCCACATCCCACAGACCTTTTAGGGGAGCATAACAGTTACTGTTGATCTGAATTGGTACTCTATAAATATATATAAAAATATAATAAAGAGTTCTACGTGCAGGGATTGTTGAATTTCCGCACAAGGAATTTAATTGAGCCTGTGAAATGAAATTATTTGCTCAGATTATTTTTTTGCTTGTGCATTTGTTGTGACAAAATATAAAATATTTATGTCCCTAACCCTTTGAGCCTATTTTTTGACAAATCAGCATAAAGCATACATTTTCAATAAAATCAATTAAACAACATAAAACATATCCAATCACCTTGGTTTCATTTAGGTCTACCTTAAAAAAATGTAATATAAAAAACTTTTCGTGGCACATCACAGCTTGATGTATCATCACTGTTTTAAAACTCTTTCATCTTAACTAAGACTAATTTTTTCTTCTGTTTTTTACAGTCAACAAAAAAGTCAAAGCGAGTCAAAGCAAATTAACACCAAAGATATTTGTCTACAAGTTTGAATCATCTGATAATTAATTAATCTCTTTTAAGACGTGAATGAAAACTTCGAATCTGCTCTATCAGTTGACTCATGAACTTGTATTCTTCGTCCTCCCTGTCAGCTTGTCTCTGTTTCCTTTCTTCCACCTCTCTGTACATGGCATTTGTGTAGTATGTGTCGCCGTTTCCTGCCACCATGTCATCAATCTTCTTCATCAGCTCCTCCACCTGCTTTCTGTCTTTGCTTCGGTTGTTAAAGACGTGGAACCTGTTTCCACAGCTGTGGATGACTTGTCTGAGCTCTGGTTTGGTTTCACGTACATACTGCTGTATGGTGATTTCCTGGTCTTCAAGATCATCTCCATGGGTGAACAGCACAATCATATAATGTTGAGCTTTTGGACCAAACAGCTCCTGCAGGGCTTCCACAGAGTTTTTCTCCTCTGTGGTGAATCGACCGACTTGGAGCACCAGTAGAAAAACATGAGGACCTGGACTGGAGACTTCAACGCATCTCACAAGTTCATTTTTGGTCATCTCTGCAGAGTGAGTGTCCAGGATCCCTGGTGTGTCTATGACAGAAATATTTCTCCCTTCCCACTGTGTTTCAGCTATTTCACAGGTTTCAGTCACTGACTCTGAACTTGGACGAGATTTGAAAGGTTTTTTTCCCAGGATGGTGTTTCCAGAGGAACTCTTCCCCACACCAGTTTTTCCTATTATCACAATCCTCAAATCAGGACCTGGAACACAATTCACAGCTTCAATTTAGCACATCTGAAACATCAAGTCCATAAGTTTCATGTATTGCAATGCATGAGCACATGTTAACACATACTAAACAAAGAAGATTAAATATATATTTACCTGATTTAAATGAAGTCATAATTTATCTTCAGTTTGTTGTAACTACACAGGTGAGAGAGATGAGTGTTCAAGCTTCTGTTCAACACATTTTTTATGTGTAGCTTCACAGTTGACACGCCCAGAGTAGTTGCATAACAGGTTTAATAGAGACAAAGACGAGCACACCTTACAGACACCAAAGAGCCTGTTACAGGATTGTTAAAATAAAAGGAATTTAAGAGTAGCAAGGAAACATTTTCTATCTGATCATTTCAATCGTTTTGGGGGGTTTGTTTGTTTGTTTGTTTGTTTGTTTGCTTGTTTGTTTGTTTGTTTGTTTGTTTGTTTGAGTATGTCAAAAAAGAATTGGTTGACTAAAAGGATCATTTCCACTATTTTCATTGACAAGATTTCAAATTTCCTTTAAGAAGGAATTCTGGTTGTAGGTGGTACAAATGAAATCACACGTGCAGCAGACTTACAAACTAGCTACTAGGTGTACATTACAAGTTTGAGCTAAAACAAAAACAAAAACAAAACCATCCTGTACCCACATATGCTTTGAATTCTCAATGGGGGACAATATTATAGATGTGCAAAGCTCTGTACAGGTTAGCAACTAGCCATGAAATGAATGTAAATTCTCCGTTCTCTTACACAGCACCCTCTTCCTGTATTTATTTTTATTGCTCCTGACCCAAACACAACTGACCAATGAACATTATCTCATGGTTTGTAACAGCAGACTTTCATTCACCTGGATTTCTCCCAAAAGAAATAAACCAAACTAAATAATCTACAGGTGTAAAAACACCCTAAGGTTAAACCTAACTCATCTTTCACTGTTCCACAAGAGTCAAATACCACTACTTCCATGTGTAGTTGGTTGATATGGAGCCAGCCCAGTACACGCTGCCAACGCAGGGGGTTAACTACCCTACGCAAGGTGCGCCTGCTGCTTGCCAGACAGGAAGGAGAGGGAGGGACGGCAGGAGATTCTCTGGCTGGCTGGAGTGGCATCTAATAACTAACTCACAAAATAAAACAAAAGGAAAACAAACCAACAAACTAGGGCTGTCGATGTTAATGCCGGCATCACGATTAACGCAAATAAAAATTTTAACACAATTTGGATGACTCAAAAATCCTGAAATGTCTCTGTCAACGCATTTCGGGCAGTTTGTCCAAAGTTTATCCACTCTGCGCTCCAGATAAGATGAATGTGTTAAAAATGTAAATTGCGTTAATCGTGATAATGGCATCAACGCGTTAAAGTTGACAGCCCTACAACAAACACAAAAACTGAAGACATTTTGATATAGACTTATAATTTGCACCGATGTGTTTTCTGAATTCATTCAAACATGTACGAAAAGTGAGCGTGAGGGCCCTCAGTGCGCCTGCTTGCTGCTGCTGCTGTGCTGAAGTCTCACACACAACCTGTCAAAAGGGGAGGAGGCGGGCTGCTTCCAAATAGTGCACATTTTATTCATAATATTGTCAATACAAGCCCATTATGTATTAATTGTTTTTCCTGGGTTGTGTAAAAATCCTAGAAAAAAAAAAACTCTACAAGGTGTAGGTCTATTAGTCTGTTAGTTTATGTTGTGGGGTTGGGTGTTGATAGTGGAGTGCAAAATTACTGATGAAAGATGACAGGAAAAGGTCAAAGCCATCAGGTCAAGTTTAGAAAAAGAAAGAAAAAAGAAGAGGAGAAA